ACACTCCATCAATCTCTGACTTGTGCTGCAGGCTTTTTCCCTCAGAAGCTTTAATCAAGGCGTTATCTGTGCTGGTTGAAGCGGTTCACTAAGTACACGCCAAATTTCACGTTTCGCCACGAGGGAGTTCGGTCTAAACACAGAGCCTCACGAGGGTTTTACACTTGAATTACTTCTCAGGCTCCGGTGGATGCAGATGCCGCTGCCCTCCCTGTACCCACTCATCAATAAAAGGTATTTTCATATTTGCTGGGAGCTGATTCCTCTGGGGACGACGTCGCATCAGGCTGACATTTACAAACCTCTCTGATTTGATGCTTTAACACCTCGATCCCTTTCCATTATAGCCCAGCCTTACAGTATCGATCACTACTGTTTCATTCGTAAGCGCTCCCCTGGTATTTCAGTAAGAAACAGCTTTCACTATTTTGGTCCACATCGACTGATTTAATCATACAAGTGAGAACCCCGTCTCCTTTGGACCGAGCTAGTTCCTACTGTTTGAGGAAGGGGACCAGGTGGCTGAAAATGGTTCATGTCTCCGGGGTGGTGTGTGTGAGAGAGAGAGAGGGAGAGGGGGGTTTGTAGGACAGCAATATCCTACTTTCAATGCCCCAGTTAGGAAAAAATGAAAAATCACCAGAGGGAGTTGGCATCCACTTGTTTCTCTCTTCTTCTTTTTTTTTCCTCTTTTCTTCTTTTGAGTCTAAACCATACGCCGTTTAAAATAATCCAACGGGGCATTCGGGGTGTTTTTGGAGGTGTCCTTCTCTTTTTCTTTCTAATTCATGGAGCTCAGATGAAATGCAATGCAATGAGGATTTCATTCGTTAAAGTGTTGCTCTTCTACGACTTCATTATAGTAGAAGTAGCCGCTTATTGTTGCAGGTGAACGCTGTGAGCCATCTGTAGGTGTGACTGAAAGCAAACAGAGTTGAGTGCTCTCTGTGATAAGTTTAATTCTGTCCGCTGATGAGCTCTTTAGCTTTGATAAGAGTTATAGGTGTTAAAAGTCTATGAGTTTTCCTGTTATTCACCTTTACGTTTCATGTCGTTGTTAAAATCTTTAGGCTTTTATGTCTGAATTACTATAGTGTGGTGCAGGGACTGGGGCCTTTCGGTGTAGAGGGTTCTCCTGCCTCTCACAGTGCAAATGCATGCATGTTACTGTAGGTTAACTGGTGATTTTGACTGGCCATAGGCGTGAAAGTAAGCATGAATGGCTGTCTCTGTGTGTTATCTCTGTGATGGGCTGGTGACCTGTCCAGAGTGCATCCTATCTCTTGCCCTGGCACAGCTGGGATTGGCTTCCGCAGCCCTGCTTATCCCTAAATTGGATAAGCCGATAAGAAAATAGATGGATGGTCCAAACTGAGTGCATCATCAAAACGTTCTGACGAATGCTAGAATAAGTCCTTTTAATGTTTTTAGCTGTGCTTCAGTTATTTTGGTTGTGTTTTACCTTAATCCGGACTGTAAAATTCAGTGGGATGGGTTACCATGTTTACATTTATTCCTGGTGAATTCTAATGTCTATGCAGATACTATATTAGAGCCACACTTTGGTTAATATTTATAGCTTGACGTAGCAATAGTCATCAATGATTTGGATAAAATTTGGCATAGCTATTCCCTTAGGATGGAGTGTCATAACTGATCGCAGTGACATCATCAGGTCAGAAATCAGTTTATTCAGCTGAATATTAAGTACCTCCAAGACTAATCGGCACATGGTAAACATTACACTTATATAATATCAAGTGCTAACTCTGCACATTAGCATGCTATTCTGCTATTTGATCTCAGAGATAGCAGTGTGTCCACAGATTCTTGCTTAGCTGTATTAAATAATGTTCTATCAGCTGTGATCAAGCCATAACCTCCACCTTAGACTGTGTGTATGTGTATTTCAGCTCTTAGACTGGATGGCATGGTGCAAAAATGTGTAACTTACTGCTCAGGGCTTCCTTTTCAGTGCATAGAAAGCAGTGCTGCTGTTTGTGTTTGCCCACCAAAGCTATTTCTGGATTGTACACATGGTGAAGTGCCAGCCAGCGTGCGAATTCGTCTTTGTGGCATTTTGTCCTCTTCCACAGCACTCTTATGAAACCAAGGCAGATGGAGGAAGAGGCGTTGTGTTGGAGAAAAGCTGCACAGGATAGAGTGTTAAACTAGGCTGGATGGGCCGACTGGAGCCTTTCTGTGTGGAGTTTTCGTGCTCTCTCTGTGCCTGCAAAGATGTCGAAAAACATCCATGTAAGGTTAATTTTAAGCTGGTTAGAGGTGTGTTTGTGAGCATGAATGGCTGACCAAGGTGTTCCCTACATCTCAACCAAACACGAGGTCACTCTGATCTGCATTTCACATTGTCTTTGTTCTCATTATAGTTCAATTGTTTTAAGTAGACCAGGGAAAAATAATTTGAATCAAACCAGTAATAGTCTGGACCAAATAAAAGCTTTTTAAAACATTGTCTTACATACACAACATTTCCATTGGTGTGTTTTGTAAGGTGGCTGACCTTGAAGCCCACGGCCCCAGTGATCTGTTGAAGGATGAGCTGACCCAGTCCCTGGAGGAGCTGGAGGCCTTGCTGAAGGCTAAAGATGAGGTTGGATATTTGCTAAATAACAAGGAATGACATGACACATCAACAAAAACATACAAAAACTGACTTTTTGATGAGTACCTTTCATTCATTCTCTAGGAAATTCACATTTTGCAAAGCAAAAAAGCAGAGTACCACGAAATGGAGCATCAGCGCGACGAGGCCATCCACAGATTACGGGTAGGAGTGACGTTTTTACAGTAACTCGGCACGTTTTCATTGCTTATCGGGTTCTGGTAAACCTTCTAATATTTCCCTCTGCCTTTTCTGTGTTTACCGTTCACTTCAGGAGATGGAGATGCGAAACTCGGACCTGGAACGTCGCATCCAGAACACGGAGCAGAACCTGAGTAACTCTCTGGAGGACCGGGATCGCTTGGATACTGAGATCCAGAGAGCCATAGAAATTCTGGACATCAAGATCTTTGACCTTAACGACCTCCGCCAGAGCCTTGTTAAACTTATTGACAAATAGGAAGGGTGGGTGAAACACGGCAGAGTGCAACCTGTAAGAGAAATGGAAGAGAGGACAGGGGTTCCGGCAGGAAGCAGTAAACAAAATAAGAAGGAGCTGGTCCCGGTCCTCTTCAAGCACAAAACCCACCTCGGCTGCAGGAAGGTCTGTGTCACAGCAGTGACGGCAACATCGCGCTGACTCTGAGCAGCAGCATATATATGGTAGAGCTTGTCCCGACTTAACGTAACGCTTCATGTTGCTTTCGAGGGTAACACTCAGTGCAATAAACCAACTTATAAGGTAAGTGCTTAACAATGCTAGTCGTTTAGGATTTAGAACTGGTGCTTCTGGTCTTAAGGATCACCTTTGTACCCAAAATCACAATGCAGTGTCAATATGAACAATAAGAGGCCTTGTTTTTCATCTTTACAACAAAATGAGTCCATGCTTAGAAACAGAGGAGCTGAAAAGTGAATGCACAAGACAAAAAAAAAGAAGTTTAGCTTATTTAAGAGCCTGCATACGCCATAATTATTACTGGGTTAACAGTTCACACAGGTCTTGTAGTTACCCATACGTAATCTAGCAGCTATATTGTGTAATGTGAAGGACCAGTGTTATTTTTTCAAAGGAATATTCAAGGATAGCGTGTGCTCGTAGTTGTCGATAATGTGGTTAATCTAGGACATGCAACTTGAATAGCAACAGCATCTAAACATTGACACCAAAGATCAAATGCTAAGAGCAGAGGGGGAAAAAGAGTTTTCCGTGGCGCGTCTTTTATCACATCCTCATTTCTTGTATTAGGAAACTTTTGATTCCTCAGTAAGCTACTTAAGTACATGATAGTAAGTAGGAAATATTAAGCAATTAAAGTTAGCATAACAATGGTTTTCCAAATGATATAAATCAATAAGCTGCACTTAAGAAGTAACCATAGGAAATTAAAATGCATCACTTAGTCTTACAGGTAAATATAAGTGACTTTTGAGCTTGTCCAGTCTGAATGATATGCTGTGCATCATCTACTAACAAAGCACTAACTTAGTAACTTATTTACAATAGCTTCACATCTTAATGAACACGTTTCTCTCATTGGTGTGATGCATCTGAAGAAATGTAAGATGTTTTCTGCCTTCTGTTACTTTTGAGCACATTACCTTTAGCTGTGGACAGTATGCCATAGGCCTTGAGATTGTGGCCGTACTGTATGAATAATTAAATACGTTAAAAAAGAAAAACTCACTGTCTACTTCAGAGTCTTTTCATCACACAGACTGTATCATATGACATTTTTTAAGCCTTACTGTACGGAGGATGAATGTGAACAGTGATGTCGGCTCTCTGGGCCACGTCATGGTGGTTTGAAAATAAAAGCAAACATTAAAATCGCTTTATGCAGCATTTCGTCTTTTTTTTTCTTGGGTTTGTTTGTTTTTCTTTGGTGAATATTGCATAGAAAATACTTGGACACTGAAAAAAATGCTTGTATGAAAGAATGAATGAGATGTCTTGGAAGTGCTCTGAGTACTTAAGTATAAGAACCAGTCCATTTACCATAATTTGCAGGTGCGACTAACTGACTCAAAACCCAAACTCAAAATGTAATACCTACCTACATTCAATAACGCTTTATTTAAAAAAATAAATAAATTATAAATTCAATCCAGTAATATTATTTCAAAATAAAAATTAAAAACACAGGGTTGCTATGTTGTTGGTTTACTCTACAGACTGTAGATAAATCTGATGTGCTTTTGAAAAATATACTGGCCAACTTTATAATCTATTTTTTTCTTTTAATCATTCAGCTCATATTCACATCCTGATTAAGCTGAACTTTGGAAAAGATCTAAATATGGCAAAAAATGTGTTACGATCACGTTTTCTTCAATTTTGATGTTTAACACATTTCAAAATAAGAGGTAAAAAAGGTTTTCTTCAGTATTAAGAGTTTTATTCAATCTGATGGAGCATTTTTAACGGCTGGATTGTGTAATCAGATTACAGAATCCTCAGTCTGATGTTGCGGGTGTGTCCACACTTGATGGCACGTGGATGCAGATGAGCATAGCACCTAAGACGGATAACAGAAATCTTTAGATTAGTGAGATAGAATCTGTAGATCGCTGCTTTACTGAGGGCTGTGATATGTATCTGCTAACACTCAACTTGGAGCCATCAAAGCTCTGGGAGAGCTTACTCCCAGTCAACCTAAAATCTGCCACTGAATTTGATTCTGACAACTGTTCTTTGAAAGAGGAAAATTATTTAATCAGCCACTCAGTAATTATTTAGCCTTGCTAATAATGCATTTTTTCCTAAAAACCTCATGTGCATAAGGAGCAACTAAAGGTTTTACTTCTTCGGACCTTTCCCATGCACCCTGCAAAAAGATGAAATCAAGTGGAATCAGTTTTTAGCAATCCGCTCAAAACATCTTATCTTATCTTAGGGGAGTTATCCCCTCACCTCTCTGAGAATGAGTTCAGTCTCGCTAATATTTGTGTGTGCTGGTTTTGTATACATACTTGCGGCAGATTATCCTGTCACAGTTGTACTTCTGAGCCAGCTGCTTCAGTGATGGCTCAATGATGCCCCCTCTCAGACGTAGGACAAGGTGAGGGTTGGAATCTGAGAGAAAGACATGGGTATATAACCATCAATGCAACTTTAAAACATTTAACAAACAGCAGTTTTCTTCCATCGTGGTGAAATCCACCTTTTTGGATGTTATATTCTGACAGGGTGAGTCCATCCTCAAGCTGTTTCCCAGCAAAGAGCGTGAGACAGTAACTTAATGGTTACAGCTACTGTGGGCATGTACTACTACATGCACAGAGCTTTGTTAGTTACACCAATCCAGTTATAAAGCAAAATGAATGTAGTAATACTGTGCACTGAGTTCCCAGACAAAAATGATCGTTTCAGAAGTTAAGGAGAAGAAAGTTTATAAGCTTTCTGTTCACCAGCCGCTCAGAAACTCAGTGAGCAGAGCGCTGTGAACAAGTTTTATCCAGTGCTTTGTTTTTAATCTGTCCTGCTGACACTGCTGCACAGAGGGAGTAACTAACGTTGGGATGAAACTCACTAACAGGTCGCAGATTAACTGCAAGTGTTTGCTATGATGAATGACACAAAGGTACAATAAGAATGAAATAATTATTGAAAAAAACAAATATAGAAGAAAAGAGGAAGAGAGAAAAGCGAGGACAATTAAGTTTCATGATTTAATCCAGTTAAATATTGTTTTTCAGAAATTCCTTCAACTTTATTCTACATATTTAATTTAAGACTAATAGATTTAAACTAAATAGAAAAGAAGAAGTCCTGCTCTTAGTAGCATTGATAATATAAGAATTAAGGCAAACACTATTGATTAATAAAATATGAGTCATCATTAAGCCCACATGAGAAACAATAAAAGAGAGAAGTTGAGCTTTTTCTTGTGAACAAACTGAATCACTTCTAGAGTGAATCTTTCTAATCACCCATCAGGAGCTACGACATTTTATTCCAAAACAAAGGGCTCATGGAAAGACTTCCATCACAGACCATAATCCTTTTCGTCTCTTCTTCTGCTGGAACATTTGTAACTATGTGTGCATTTTAAAAAAACAACTCCTTCACGAGAGAGAGAGGTTTCACATAAAAGTGATATTATGGTCATTAAACATTTTTGCAATTCAAGTCTGTGGACCTCCTTAGTGTGGTTGTAGAAGCTGCCAGCAGATGGCGATGCACAACAGCGGTGATAGTGACACTGTTTAATCTACAGTACTGTGTCTGTGAAGGTTCTCGGTCATCCAGGTCATCATAGTCTAAGGTGCTCGGAAAAACCTCAGGAGTCTTCTCCAAGCACGGCATCCCAATGTACTTCAGACCCAGCAACACACTCAGCCAAAAACTGGTTCATCCCAAAGACAAAATTCCTAAACACAAACTCAAAAATGTGGTGTATGCTGTGCAGTGCAGCGAGGAATGCCCAGACCTCTACATTGGAGAGACCAAACAGCCACTTCACAATGCATGGCATAACATAGAAGAGCCACCTCCGCTGGACAAGACTCGGCGGTGCTTCTCCATCTAAAGGACAAAGGTCACGCTTTCGAGGATGCCAAAGTTCACATTTTGGAGAGTTTGAAAGAGGACTGAAAGAAGACATCTATGTCCACTGTGAGCGACCATCTTCGAACAGAGGCGGTGGTTTACGACACCAACTGTCGGCCATCTATAATCCAGTTCCCTTCCCAGACACCTTAACGCCCACTCTCATCCTGGGCCATCTGACCTCACATGAAAGTGGGTTTCACAATGAGCTCACCCCAAACCTTGGCTGATTGTGACCTACACCCGTCTTCACACCTCGGCTTGTGTAATTAGGTAGAGGATCATTAGGGGGTCCATGTCTCTCGTGGGGGGACACTCCCACAGGGCTTAAATCTGGGACTCTCCACCATTTGACCTTAGAACTGAAGAAGCTTCTTATGAGAGGTGAAACGTGTTCAAGCAACTTAAAGAAGTCCAGACGCTCCTTAGACTACAGTACTGTGCAGAACTCGTTAGCCACCCTTACTTATTTGTGTAAAGTGATCCTGGAAAAATAACACAAACAGTTCTCCAAGATTTCTGAAGATCTTTCAAAGTATTTGTGTTTATTTAAGACTCTTATTACTGTTCTATAAATCATGAAAGCATTAAAAAGGCACCTAACCTAATGATGAATCAGTGACTGTATGAGATTTGATTTTTTGTTATAATCATTGGGATGAACTAGTGTTGTCTACACAGCTTACCAACAAAATAGTTTTTAATTGTATTTTTTGCTACTTAAACACATAATTTGTTCCAATTTCTTTTATAGAATCTAAGAAAAATACATCTGGCACACAATGAAACACTATGAATCATGGACTGTCCTCCCCAGAGTCCGGGCCTCAACATTTTTCGAGCAGTGTGGGATTTTTTACACAGAGAACAGTACAAAAGGCAGCGAACATCCAAAGAAGAACTTTGAATGCCCTTCAAGAGGTTTAGAGCAATAAACTTTTTCCTTCTATGAATTTTTTCCACTTCTGCGTAAACACTTTTGACTAAATGGCTGCACCTCCACCCCATCTTCCTGGGTGGCTGAAGACTTTTGCACAGCACTTTAATTCTACAGAATCACATACTGAAATATTTTTCAAAATCCATCCCTCCATCCATTTTCTTCCGCTTATCCGGGGCCGGGTCAGGGAGGCAGCAGCCCAAGAAAAGAGGCCCAGACCTTCCTCTCCCCAGCCACCTCCTCCAGCTCGTCAGGGGGAACACCAAGGCGTTCCCAGGCCAGCCGAGTGATATAATCTCTCCAGTGTGTCCTGGGTCTGCCCCGGGGGTTTCTCCCGGTGGGACAGGCCCGGAACACCTCGCCCAGCCCAGGAGGCATCCTTGTCAGATGCCCGAACCACCTCAACTGGCTCCTTTCGATATGAGGAGCCGGTTGAGGTGGTTTTCAAAATCTTTAACCAAAAAAAGAAATAAAGGTAGAAAGACTAAATGATCATTTTATTTTCAGCATTTAAATGTAACAGTATTTTACAGTAATTAAAGAGCACTTCTATCTACGCATGAACATACATCAACCTGCTCTTTTGTTTCGATATTGGTTTATGTTCGTGTTAATAATCTCTGTTGTACTTTTAAATGTTTGCTTCGTGAGCCTAATAAATAAAAAGAAAACCGTGTGCAGTGAAGGCTACAGTGGACATTAGCAAGCACAAAACATTTCAAATGAAGGCTGCCGTCCCTCTTTAAAGACAGTGAATCACTATGGATCATTGTACAGCGTTACTGAGGCTCAGGATTGTGCTTCCTGTGTGTAGCAGGGCGCTATGACACCTGTTTTATGACACCGGCTTTAAAGAGAATGTTTTCTGCTTCAGTTTCTCACAGTTAAAAGTGAAGGACAGTAGCATCATCTGACTCACAGACACCGCTCTGACTGAACACACCCAGTTCACATTAGTAAAGGAAAACAACAGACGGAGAACGTTCCTACTGAGCTTTACGCATTCTGTCCACCACAGACGACCTGTGGTTGGCCAGGTTGTTAAGGACACAGCTGTTGGTGAGCATAGACAGTTTGGAGTTAAGAGAGTCTTTACTTTTCTCCCAGTAACAGTCAACTCCTGGGTCCTTGTTCTCCTCTCCCCCTTTTTCCTCCTCTTCCTCTTCAACCTCACTTTCTTCATCACTGCGTTCATCTTTTTCCAGCTGAGGAAGAAAACAGAAGGTTTCACACTACAAACTACGAAGAAGGTCCAAAAACAAATGAGTGGGTGACACTGATTTATTTTCTTGTGACCACAGGGCTGTGAATGAGGACATAAAGCTGACTGGTTCAGTTTTCTGGATGCTCCCTGTCGTCCTTTTAATTGGACTCTTTGCTTGTTTGCATCAAGTGGTATCACGTAA